CAACTTAGAACTAAGGAGGAATTTCCTGACAGTCAGAACAATTAGCCAGTGGAACAACCTGCCTCCAGAAGTTGTGGATGCTCCAATATGGGAAGTTTTTAAGAAGAGATTGGACAGCCACTTGTCTGAAATGGTGTAGGATTTCCTGCCTAAGCAGCGGGTTGGACTAGAAGACCTCCAAGGTATTTTGTCTTGCCTTTCCTCTTTCCCAAAATATGAAAGAGTACAAACTCACACCAACACAGGCAGGCAAGCTGGCTCGGAGAGTTCATTCTTTGGAACTGATAATATTCTTGGCATTCCCACATGTCCTGCCTGCCAAGTCCGAACTGATAAAGTTTTACTCACAGAAAATCACAAGGCAGTCCACAAAAATAGTCATTCACGAAAAAAAATCTGAAGTAAGGTTAAACTTTGTCCCGTACAAAGTTTCCGGAGAAAACACACCCACTTTTATCCCCTGTGGGGTGTGGCTCAATGACTCAGCTCACTCTCTGACCCTCCCGCGCCTCCTGTGTTGCTGCTCACGTTTCTCCCTACGACGCTGCTTAGGATCGAGCCAACACTCTTCCTCTTGACTCCCTGTCAGGGGCTGCTCCGATATGCCTTCCTTCTAATTAATCTCAGGCTGTTCCTCTCAGTTGTCTGATGGAACCTGAGGCATTATCAGGGAGGAAGGTCCTGGGGAGGAAGGCATTCCCAGTTCCTCCTCCTCATCTTCCAGGTCCTCTTCCTCTGACAACACAGGCTCAGGAATCGGAGCCACAACACAAGGTTCCTTCAAACTCTATTATTCTGTTCTGTTCGGTTCTGTTCGGTTCTGCTCTGCTCTGTTCTGCTCTGCTCTGCTCTGCTCTGTTCTGTTCTGTCCTGTCCTGTCTTATTCCATTCCATTCCATTCCATTCCAGTTCTGTTCTGCTCTATTCTACTCCATTCCATTCCATTCCATTGCATTGCATTGCATTGCATTGCATTGCATTGCATTCCATTCCAAACTTTGAGCTTGGTTGTAAGTTGAGGACTATTGGTATATCGACATAAATTTCCGGATTTTTTGACATGGACTAGTATCACACAATATTCTAATCAGAGGTAGTATTCAGCAGGTTTTGACCAGTTCTGGAAAAACACTAGAGGAAATTTTGAGTAGTTTGGAGAACCAGAAAATACCACCTCTGACTGGCCCCGCCCCCATCTAATCTCTGCTTCCCGAGTCCCAGCTGATCGGCTGGGTCTCCTTTTGTTACCCTGCACAGGAGAACGGAGCTGGAAAGCAGGCTAGTGGGGTGGGGAGGGAATGGGGATTTTGCAGTATCCTTTCCCTGCCACGCCCACCAAGCCACACCATGTCCATCAAGCCATGCCCAGAGAACCAATAGTAAACGATTTTGAATCCCTAAAGAATGGATATATTTGATTGTTAATATTTTGATAGCAGCTAGAATTGTATTTGTGCAAAGTTGGAAAAATGAAAAAGCTCCGAGGATGAAGTGATAAAGAAAATAATGGAATGTGCAGAAACGAGTAGATTGATATTTGCTATTAGAAAGCAAGAAGAAAAAGAATATTATAAAATATGGGACTTATTTTATCAATGGTTAGATTATTAGAGAAATATAACATAATATAATATAAACATAATATAATAGTTAAGATAAAATAATGCAATGATAAGCTATAAACGATTACCATGGAAAAGATTATAATGACAATCTTTTGATGATTATAAGGATAATTATAAAGATTATGATATTCTATGTTTGATTATTTGGAAGGGAATGATACCATAAACTAGGCTTTATAATAATTGATTCTTGCTCAAAAAAAGATGAGATGAATTTATAAATACAGTCTGATAATGATTTGACAATAATATGACGCTAAGCGGATAGTAGTTATACACATTATGAATTGTAATATAAAAACAGGATGGAATGACTGTTGATATTGTGCACAAGAGATCTGTACCAACCGACACACTGTATAATGGAAGAAAGATTTTATTTAATGTTGTACGTTTTGTGTTTGTTTATATTTGTTTTTAAAATAAAAAAAAATCAAAAAATAAATATAGAAAAACAATTTTTTTTGAATCCCACCACTACGTAGAAATTCACCTCAGAAGCAGAAGCTCACTCCCACCTTTGTTAATGGGTGGGCCATTAAGGCCCGGGCCAGAATACTATACATAACAAAGATCTCCAGGTAAAGCTATAGCAATTGCTCAAAAGCCCTTTCGTTACATCATCATCCAGCAAGGCTCAACCAAGCCTGGAACTCAGGACAGTCTACAGAATTGTCCCCGCATGGCCCCATGGGAGTCAGACAACCAGTCAGAATACAAGCTCAAATTCAAATCCCAACAGAGGGTATAAAATCCAGGCACTCTCAGCATCTCAGCCCTTCCTTCTCCCTTGACCTTCCTCCTTTGGAGCTCCAAGCCATGTGATCCTGTCCACCATTAAACCATCTTTCCAAACAGCCTCCATGTTTCCAGTGTCTTTTTTCCCTCCACTGGGAAATGAACCCAGAAGGATAATTCTTCCAACAAATTAATGCGTTGAGTCATCGGATGACTCGTGCTCATTTCTCTAACGTTTGGCTTGCGGGTGGCTGGGAAATAAACATCTGATTGTGTATCCTAGGCTGTGCGCCAAACAAACAGTCATTCTCACAGTTCTTTCGACAATGGGAGAGAAGAGCTGCATTGCTACACCTAGAAACCTTGTTGCCCCATTGTTGGCTCGTCTAGCTGGTTGTGTGAGTCCAACTGGATTGTTTTGTGATTGTTGGGTTCTCTGACCTGGGCCAATTGAGTCAAGTCAAGTTATCAGTTTTGTAGATGATACTAAGCTGGCAAGATAGGTCACATCCTAGATGATAGGCTCAAGATCCGGATGGATTTCGACATTATACTTAGACGTCAGCAAGGCATTTGACAAAGTAGGCCACAACCTACTTCTTGGTAAGCTAGAAAAAAGTGGGGTAGATAGCATCACCACCAGATGGATTCATAACTGGCTGACAAACTGTACTCAACTAGTAGTCCTTAATGGGTCTAAGTCTACATGGAGGGAAGTAAGCAGTGGGGTGCCACAAGGTTCTGTCTTAGGCCCAATATTCTTCCAATATCTTCATAAATGACTTAGATGAGGGAACAGAAGGGGAACTTACCAAATTTGCTGGTGATACTAAGCTGTCAGGAATAGCTAACACCCAAGATGATAGGCTCAAGATTCAGAAGGATCTTGACAGACTTGAACACTGGGCCCTAACTAATAAAATGAAATTCAACGTAGAGAAAAGTAAAGTCTTACACTTAGGCAAGAAAAACCAAAAGTACACATATAGAATGGGTTAAATCCAGGTTTAATTATGAAAGGGCTCATGGAGTCTTAGTGGACAACCAGCTAAATATGAGCCATCCGTGTGCAGCAGCAGCCAAAAAAGCTAATGCAATCCTAAGTTTCATTAACAGAGGGATACAATCCAGATCAAGTGAGGTACTAATACAACTCTGTAAAGCCTTAGTAAGGCCATACCTAGAGTCCTGCATCCAGTTTTGGTCACCACATTATAAAAAAGAGGTTGAGACTCTGGAAAGAGTGCAGAGAAGAGCAACCAGAATAGATCAAGGGTCTTCAAACTTGGCAAGTTTAAGACTTGTGGACTTCAACTCCCAGAATTCCTGAGCTAACATGACTGGAAGAGGAATCCTGGGAGTTGAAGTCCACAAGTCTTAAAGCTATCAAGTTTGAAGACCCTTGCTCTATCTTATATGCAGCTCTATCATTCCCCTCTATTGGAGTGGTTTCCTGTATCACATTGCCCCTCCAGGTTTCATCTCTATTGTTCCCGTGATGCATTTCCTGTTCTTGTATTACTCTGACACAAGGGTCTTCAAACTTGGCAAGTTTAAGACGTGTGGACTTCAACTCCCAGAATTCCCGAGCTAACATGACTGGAGGAGGAATTCTGGGAGTTTGAAGTCCACAAGTCTTAAAGCTGTCAACTTTGAAGACCCCTGGAATAGATACACAGAGAAAGAGAGATAGAATAGATAGATAGAGGGGGAAGAGAGAAAAAGATAGAATAGATAGAATAGATAAAGAGAGGTAGAATAGATAGAAAGAGAGAAATAGGATAGATAGACTAGATCAAGGTTCTTCAAACTTGGCAAGTTTAAGATTTGTGGACTTCAACTCCCAGAATTCCTGAGCTAACATGACTGGAAGAGGAATTCTGGGAGTTGGAAGTCCAGAAGTCTTAAAGCTGTCAACTTTGAAGACCCCTGCTCTAGACTCTTCTTAAAAACCTCCAGTGACGGAGCGCCCATGATTTCCAGAGGCAAGCTGTCCCACTGGTTAATTTTCCTAGGGGTGACATGATAGCAGTCTTCCAATGTTTGATGGGCTGCCACAAACAAGAGTGGGTCAAATTATTCTCCAGACAAAGCACCTGAATGCAGGACAAGAAGTAACAGATGGAAACTAACCCAAGAGAGGAGGAACCTGGAATTAAGGAGGAATTTCCTGATGGTGAAACCGATTAACCAGTGGAACAGCTGGCCTCCAGAATTCGTGGGTGCTCCATCACTGGAGATTTTTAAAGAAGACGCTGGACGACCATTTGTCTGAAATGTTATAGGGTCTCCTGCTTCAGCAGGGGGCTGGACTAGAAGACCTCCAAGGCCCCTTCCAACTGTGTTATCTTGTTAATTAATCAGTGGGACGTCTGGACTGCAGACGTTGTGGCTGCTCCATCCCTGGAGGCGTTTTAAGAAGAGCCTGGCCAGTCCTTCGTCTCCAATGGCGCATTCGAGCAGGGGGCTGGACTAGACGACCTCCAAAGGTCCCTTCCAGCTCTCTTTTGGATCGCTCGCTCGATCTCCCTCGCGTTCAACGAACCCTTCTGAAACCTATAGGAATCCCGGGCCGGGTAGGCGGCCCTCGGCCAGCCTCAAACGCGAGAAACGAAAGCGCGGGCACACCTAGGCGGGCCGGAGGAAGGATGGCTCTAGCTGCGCAACGCCCAGCCCGGGCTGGATTCGCCTAGTGCCGCACGTGGTCGCCTGCCCGCAGCCCCCTCCCCACTCCAACCGTTCGCTTCTCCCCCACATCCGCCCCCCGGACCCCAGAGGATTGCAGCCCAGCGATCCAGACGCATCTCTCTCGGTCTCTCTCTCTCTCTCTCTCTCAATCCGGAGCGCAGCAAAAGAGCAACGGAGATGCCAACCGGGATGAAGGCGCCTTTGGCCATCCTCTTGGCCGCCTGCCTCTGCGTGGACGGCGGTGAGGCCTCTGCCCCGGCCCCCTTGAGCCTTCCTCCCTTATTCCTCCCGGGCGGGGTGGGGTGGGTGGGTGGGGTGGGGTCTCCCTGCCTTCCTTTCCTGCGACCACCCACCCACCCACGTTCGCGTCTTGCGCCCGGGTGGGGAGGTGGAGGCGCGCGCCTCGGGGCTTGCGGAGACGGATCCCGTTTTCCCCAAATGAATCGCGGGGTGGAGGAGGGGGAAGACGAGCTGGCGCACGTTTTCCTTTCTCCCTCCCTCCCTTGTTTGTTTATTTATTTATTTTCCTTCCTTCCTGCCTCCCTTGGTTATTTTTTTTTCCTTCCTTGCTCCCTCTCACCTTCGTTCACTTATTTTCC